CCTTAACACATTCCTCCCTCCGAAAAAAAGTGAAAAATAAAAACAAACGAACAAACCCCCCAACAATGTACAGGCTATATCTCAGTGTTTTCTTAACAAACAGTCTGCGGTGTTTTCACTTTGGCCACTGTTAAAGATGCAGGCATAGAGAAGGGAGTGTTGGACTAGCATGTATTAAAGAAAAAGGAACACTAACATTGCAGATCTCTCTCAGAAAGACTAAAACACTAACAAATACAAGTCGATGCACGTTTGCTTTAAACTAGTGTAATTCATTTTCACATTGGGTTAAACATCATTTTGTATACCAAACATTACAGTGCTGTTTATCTCCTCCAACCATGCAAAAAATAGTTAAAACGTGCCATTTCTGCCCACAAATAGAATATGACTAACTCTCCTAGATACCTTCCAAAATCAGGATTTGAAATGAGAAAAACAAAGTACTAATATCCTCCTTCAAAAGCTTTATAAAGAAATTTAGACACAAAGCTGCCACTTAATACCAAGATGGTACAAGTTACAGATTTTTACAGGAAGTTCTTGTTAAGTCAACTGACACTTCTCTCAGCCTCACCATTTGAAAGGCCGTATCCTGCAAGGCCAGAAAGTGATGACTTTAAAAGGATCCTGAACTTACAGCTCCCACCTAAAAGAGTAGGAACAGTAAGTGTCCAGGAATTTTGAAATACTTGGTATTTAACACCTTCAACTCACATAAAGAATTTGAGGCACTCAGCAATTTACAGGATCAAGCCTTACAGAGGTAGAAGAGACTTAACTGGTGCAGTAATTCACAGAAGTTTTCTAGAGAGCTGCCAGACAACTTTCTGAAATCTTGAAGTGTGAATCATGCTTCAATGCCTGCCTGTGAAGACACATGAACTGTAATATATCTGGGGACCAAAGCAGCATCCAAATAAAACTGCCGCCTGGTTATGAACTGAACATCTTTATTGTAAAGCTGATGCTGAAGAATGAAGACAATTTAATGTTCTGCAAAAAAGCAGGGACAGCAATCACAGGACGTGTGGCTTTTACTCTTGCTCTCTTGACTGACACACCCACCCCCTTTCCTCATTTCCTCTGAGCGTCTCGGATAAACAGCATTGCAAGTTGGCTTAAAAAAAAAAATTTACAAGAGAGAGTTCTGTTGGTCATCTATTTACACGTGGCATCACTCCACCAGGAGTTTAATCTCATTGGCTAATAGCTGGTTCATGTTGAAAAGAGCCCCCGGGAGCTTGGTGAGCAACTCTCTCTCCGTGGTCTCAGGGTCGCTGTCGACAGAGCTGGAGCTAGCACTCATATTGTCGACAGCGGCACTAGCTGGAGGGCCCAGCTCTGGCTCGCTAGTCTCGCTTGCCGTGGACACCACGGAGAGCAAGGACATGCGCCGCGTCAAGCGGCCGGGGGTGAGCAGAGAAGCGGCATAGTCTGCTATGATACCAGCTACATCTAAATTACAAGCCTTGTCAAAGGCAATGAAACCTACATTTGCATTGGCCTCGCAGACGTAGAATGAACCGTCGTCCTTCATCAGCAGGTCAATGCCGCACACGTCCATCCCCAGGATGTTTGACACTTGGACTGCCAACTGCTTGCCTTGTTCACTCAGTGAGCACATCATTCCTACACCACCTGGAAAAAGCAAAAAAACTTGCTGTCTGTACTCTGGTCATGGGTGACTGACATCCTTCTCAACTGGTCAGCATTTTTCTGTTGGGAAGCACTAAAGTGAGCCTGCAAGCAGACTGCCGATGACTCAGAAATCAACCTCCTTTTCCACAGTGACTACTAATGAACTTGAAGTCACAGGAGGATTTCAAAATATTCTGACCTGCCTTTGGCAGGTCAAGATTATGACTTGTTTAAAAGGCAGTTAAGTGATGACTTTTCAGTCCAGAAAAAGTATCACACATTTTTATGATCCTAGGATATTAAAAAAATGAACTAATAAACCGCCCTTGTTCTTTCTAAGGTAGAAGCTCTCCCTGCACATTTGTAAGTTGACACGAGCTCTTAATAGGACTACACCTCTAACAAATATAATTGGGGAGTGGGGGTTAAGATATCACCTGTTCATGGTGTCCCCTCTCAACTTCTTATCACAGGTTACTGCCTTTAAAGCAATAATTAGGGATCATTTGTGTCTGAACCTCACCTGGTCCAGTTAACAGTCCATCATCTAAGTATTAACCGACTCAGACCTCATCTATCACAATATTTAAGTTTAAAAAATACCCAAACAATAAGAAACAGAAAAAATATTTAGCAGAAAAATCTTTCAGGCTACATTTCCTCAGCATCAAGTAGTAACTAAACCCTCTCAGGCATTTTGACTGACCAAAAGTGTACTACACATGAACATACTTTATCCCATCCCTGCTCAGGTTCAGTACAGTTCAAGTCAGGTAACTTCAACCCTCCTTCCTGCTTTTACCCTCAAAAACCCTGTGTCCAACATCCAAAGCTACACAGTCTCAGTTCTGAGTATGCTACAATCAATGCAGCAACCTCCTCTTCCTTCCACATACGGTCTTTGAGGGAAGAGGTTGCAAGGGGAAGACTTTAGGTAGCACAGAAGATGCACAATGCAATACAACTGTTTATTGCCTTCAACAGTTTGCTCTCTTAACATTCTGTTCTACCCTCTTGCCAACTGTCTCCTCCACTTTCCTTAAGTGTCCCTTTCTTTCTTCCTTCTTTTTTCTGTTCCTCTCAACAGGATGGAAGAAATGATAACATGGCATTAGCATGAAACTGCCACTACCACATCAGTTGCTCCATTTGTGCTCTAGAACTTTCCCCTGCTTTTCATCCATCCTGTCCATCTAATACTGTGGGCAGAGAATGTCTCTCCTTCTGTGTCTGCTCAACATGCACCTTACTTAATCCCTACTCTTGTGTTCCCTCTGTAAGCCCCTGGCAGTAAACACAATTAATAGAAAATAAAACCTGCAGCTTATTTCAGTTGGCTTTGTGATTTTTCAGCTGGATTGAAAAATTCTGACCAAAACCATGAGCAATGTTTTTCCTACCAAGTGAGCAGTTACTCTGCATCCTCCCATCTGTTGAGCAGCGGAGCATGGTGCCCACCACACGGCCTCCTACTACGATGACACGTACGTCCTTGCCGTGGGACTCTTTAACATATTTTTGAAATAAGTAAGGGGCATCGTGACGGATCAAATGGCTTAGGTCTGCCAAATGGTGCTTGTCTCGTGCCAGGAACACAGCTTTACCTGTACGGAGAGAAAGAACATCGAAAGACTGAAAACAGCTACCCATTTGAGCTGTACCAATGATTCAGCGCATGAAAGTAAAACCTCTGACCAGCACGTTGCCTGTTCTCACAGGCACCATCCATATACCCATATTCCCATTTACAAATTCCACCTTGGACAACTGTGTTCCACTGATGCAGTGCTTTTAAGTGTTCAAGTGCTGCTAAAAGAGCTGAGGAGATATATGAGGAGTTAAAAAAAAAAAAAAAGAAAAGAAAAAAAATTTAGATAAAGGAGGTGGTCTTGCAATTTCAACTCCTTTTGGTGCAAGTCCTTAAGGAGAGGAAAAAAGGGAAGAAACACTAAAAGAACAGCAGACATTTAATTAATAACAATGTTATTCACCCAAGAGGACTGGACCCACAACGTACAGCTTTGACACACAGGAACCAATGACATGAAACTGTTAAACACTGGGCAACTAAAAACTCTGAAGTCACAAGGATGCCACTGCAGAACCAACCACTTCCCTGCTGAATGCTGCTCTTCCCATTACCTGCAAGGGCTCACAGCTCCAGAATGAGGTTTTGCAGTGGAACAACTACATTCAGAGGAAAATACTAGACTCTACAGTATCCAAGATAATTCAGCAGATTCTACAAGACATGAAATGAATGGAATACACTACAGTTAAAAGAAAAAACCAAAACTCTTTAGAAATCATTAGCTTTTCTGCAAGCAACACCTCTAGGACTTGGATTTTTTCACCTAAAATATGCCATTTCATTCCCCTTCACTTCTAGAGCACACCAAAGACTTCTTCTTTCCCAATTTTACCAAGTCACTCCTGAAACAGATTCGACCACTTTCCATCTCATTTCTAGTCTTAAAAGACTGCATTCCTTTCCAACTTTAGCTACATTTCCCAACTCCTTTTACCCTCCTAAGGCCTCTTTCTATGTCATATTAGACTGATGTTTTGCAGTAGGGCTGCACATTTTTTCTTGTTACAGAACTGCCATTCAAATTATGCTACAATGTTAATAGAGCACAAAAATAAACTGTCTATCTTAAATAAAGAGACAGAATGCAGTGGTAGCCCAAGTAGGAGAAATAACATGTAAAGAATTCCATCAAGTGCTCCAAAGCCCAACTGGGGCAGCCTCTTTAGTCAGGATTTAAGGTCTCTGTAACACAGAACACTGCTTGAGGAACACAGAATTTCTCATTACAAAAAAATGAGAATGTAAGCTTAAAAATCATGACAAGACAGCAAAAACCTCCATATGCTTTCTCTTCCTCCTATTCCAGACTTTACCTCTCCTACGGACACTTAATAATCCTACTGCATTCTTGAAATTGAATAGTAAGAATGATGTCACGGAGGGAAACTATGTAGTTCTTGGGAATTACGCAGCATCACAATATCTTGGCAAAAATAAGATTGGCACATTTGCTGCAGCAACAAATTACACAAATAACATGCCTAAAATGACTTTTATTCCTCTGCCAGTACCCATGACCATGTTTGGCTGTTTATTTTAAATGCCATTTTTAAATGGCCGTTCTTCAATTAATTTGAAAAAGTTTCCCCAACCCTCTTAATGCAAAAGGATATGTACTGTGCATAAATTTGCATTAGAATGCCTGGAATTTAAAGTGCTCTAAAAGCTAACCTTGTAAACAGATTTACATGTATCCTGGTGAGAAAAGGGAGAAGGAGGTCAATAGCTGTAATTACAATTATTTAACAGATCTTAACTAGAGGCAATGTCAAGTCAAATGCACTGTCTCAGATATTCCACAGTTGTCAAATTCAGCTTGCTGTAAAATCAAACTCCAACTTGGCTTTATAGCTCCACATGCACTTTAAAACCACAAAATGTGGTGTTACTGCCAACAGAAGCAGATCGGATCTTCCTCAGCCCCAGCTTTTTGCTCTCACTCTTCCATTACATCAAGACAAGCATTTGTGCAAGTATGTGCTAAGTCATGTAAGGAATTAATCTAAGTAATAATAACCCATCTAGATTCATCCAGCATCAGTTCCTGAATCCATTTACTACATGGCTACAGAAGTACTCAAGCCAGTAGGAGGTGCACCGGAGCAGCGTAGAGTAGCAGCAAACTGACAGATATAAGAAAAGAAGAAGTGGTGTCTTTTATTTATGATTTTGCTTAAAGCAATTGCTGGTTTATGTGCTTAAACTTCGTTTTTAGTCTCTCTATACTTCTAGTATTTTTAAAACTGGTTTTAAAGTATATTAAGAACTGAGCAACCTCCTGTGCAAAAAACCTCTGAAATTGATTTATACCTGGTTTCCTCTAGCAGATCGCTATCTAACACTAAATTAAGTTGATGTGTTGTTTCCTATTCAACACTTAAACCAAAAGACTAATAACAGAAAAAATTTAATCTGAACCTGCTGTAATACCACTGGCACTGTCAGAGGTATTTTTCTGAAAAACAGAGATCCAGTTTGACGAACAATATGTAAGATTTTATTTATATCGGAATCCTAATTATAGACAAAGTCAAGTAGAAAAAGTCACTGAGTGAACTGAGATTTCATTTCTTATCCCTATCTAAAAGCATCCCTAAAATCCATGTGGACTTCTCTTTATTTCCCTAAGGCCCAACCTTCCATTATTCCAGTTCAAAGCTTTCCTCACAGAAGTCACCAATGCACCATAATTTTGAACCCCTTTCCCCCCACACTACTGCAAGACTAGGCTCTACTAAAACTGTTTCCCAGTGTTGCAGTCTATTCAACATTCAGAAGTCGAACCAGGATAGAATTTAGATGTACTGGAAAGAAGTCCAGCACCTAACAGATCTTCTTAACTACCATTCCTTGATGAGACCAAATCTTAGAGTGCTGCTCAGAATATTCCTTGGCCTCACCCCTGACCTCACACCCACCTCGATGACCCCGCGTGTTCTTCACCACCATAGGGAACTCCAGCACTTCCGCCTCATCAATCATTTTGGAAAAATTCTCATGACCACCTGGCAAAAAGAAAACCAACAACATTATGTGCCACCAGTCTGGTGTGGCCTAATTGGGGATGTAATTGGCATATCTTTCTCCCACCCTTACAGCTTGGATAATGCATTAAAAACTATCAGTTAAGAGAAACCTGGTCATAGAGCATGGTCAGACTTTGAAGGTATTTGTGATCTGTGGGATATTAACTCCTGCTTCCTTTGAAATTGAAGATACAAGTTGGCAAAGGCCTCTTGATCACAATTCCAAAAGGCTCAATCTAATTTTCCAAATCTGAATGCCCCAACTCTATTACCTTGTTCAAGTTTCCCCCTTTAACTCTAACTCCCACCTTTTCAAGTGTCTAAAAGGAAAATAGCAGAGACATAACACTCACTAGTAACAGTTCCATCCAAACTACTAACCAGGAAAGCAACACGGAATACAATGACAAGACATAATCCAGAGAGCAGCAACAACCAATACTTTGTCACTCCACCTCCCCCTTTTCCAAGGCTCCTGTATCTCATTCTCCTTATATCCTAATGTAGTACTTAAACCTTTTAATCTCACTGCATCTGTAAGGACCTTAGAGAGTAGCTTTTAATGGCCATTCACACCATTATGGCTGATACATCAAGGTTCTTTGAGTTCAATTCACAGAAGGCTGACCAAGTACAAGAAATACAGAAGACAAAGTCAGTAGACAAAGGGATGAGCCCCCTCTAACAGCATGTGCAGTAAAGCGCAGAAGTCAAGCCAAGACACTGGTCACAAAGCCAGCAGCAGCCATCACTACCCTGCCATGGATTTGAATGCATGCCATGGAATAACATGTCATTCAGCACATCCTGCTTTACTTGGCAAAGCCAGTTCTCACTGATAACTTGATACTTGCAGTTTAAAAAAAAATAGAAAAAAAGAAAAAAAAGTCATGCTTCTGTCAAATTCCAAAGGCAGGCATTAAAAGTAGTGGCAGAGAGTTATGAACAAATAGATATGTTCTGCAATTATCTCATCATTCATGGTCTTCCTTTCCCCCCAAAAATTAAAAACTCATTCCTTTCTCAATGAGTTAGAGCAACAGCAAGCATAAAGAAAGGGTGTGTTTCTTCTCTGATGTGCTTTCACAGTAAGTGATGGAAATAGTAATTCATACTAATCAATAGAAAGCCAAGGGTTTTGTTTGTCAAGTTTGTTTCTGTTTTTGCCAAGTTCCCATTACAAAAGCCTATTGGTGCAACAACACAAAGGGGAGGAAAGCACTGGCATTTCTTAAAAAGGCAAGGAAGGTTGAGAGGTATCTTCAGCTCTTTAATAGATTGTAATTAAGAGCTTCAGGGTAGCTCAGGCAAACGGTTCCTCTAATCTAGCACTGTCAGGAACCACAGACTCCAGAGGCAGGCACAGGAAAAAATAATTAGCTGTTATGATGGGAAACAAACCCCAAACAACTGTACTTGTACAAGGGCTTGTACTTTCTTTGCCCTTAGACAAAAACTAATATATTTGCAGATACTTTTATTCATACAGAAGTTTAATCTAATCTACTTTCAGGTTTTAACAAAGGCTAGATCTTTGTAGAATCTTAGGACAAGTTCTTGTCTGTTGTTTCTGGCAATTGGAGAAGAGTTAAAAATGTTTTAGCAGTAACAGCCAAAGTTAGTTGCTTGGAAAGTTGAGGTAGAGTTAAAGTACTCTTCTCAAAGCATTACCAGCTAATAGACAAAGCCAAGACCAGAACCTGAGTGCTGCAACTCTAATTTCCTCTCCCGGTTACTGAGCACTTAGCTGTGGAACTAGCCTCATGCTACCTAATTTCTATGGATTTCCAAAACTTGACTCACATCCCTAGCACTGCAAAAACGTAAACAGTGGTAGACAACTATGCTACCCTTTTGATCCAAAAGTCTTACCATATGAAAAAGTGTCTGGAAGAGGCACACCATGACCAGCAAGTTCTTGAAATGTCCAGAACTTGTTGACACAGTTGAGGATGGCTTGGGGACGATTCATCAATCGACAGCCCATCTTCTCTAGGTGGCGAAGGACTGTGATATCACTGTCACTCTGGACCCAAGGTGTTGGCACACGCACGACCACCACTTGTGGGTAAGCAGTAATGAGCTCCCCTTTCACCCGGAGACCTAAAGATGGAAGAGTAAAACATCCCAGTTTTTTACCATCCCATCAGCAAAAGGTAAACAGGCAAAGAAATACTGTACTATCTGTGATCACAACTGATACTAGACTTCAACAGTGAGTGTCGAAACAGCACAACTCTCCCTACCATGCATCTTGTCAGTTGTGCTGTTTCATACATGTCACTCTTAACCCACTTAAAGGTCAGACTAAGCAAAACCAAGACTTTATTTAGGGCACACAATCTTGGGCTTCTTTCCAGGGTGAAGCACATTTTATCTAGGTTGATACACCATCCTTTCTCTGGGTGTTAGCTGCACATTACATTCACGTCAGCTGTATCAACAGCTCAGGAGGTTCCTGCCTCCCACCGCTGCTTCTTGCCTACATGATGCAGTTCATACCTTTCCCAGTCCCAGCTGTATTGATCCCTCTGTTTGTGGTATCACGTTACACAACATACTGCCAAAGTAACAGAGATTAGATACGACCCTTAAAAAAACACAAAAAACCAGCAGTATTTTTAACACAGGTAATTTCAACAATGTGTTTTATAAGTATTGAAAATAACTTTATCAGCTAACAGGGAACCACCCTGTGACATAAAGGCAGGAACTAGAATGAAAGCCAGCTTTGCCACCAAGACCAGTGTATTACTTAATCACGACCTATAGTTTTATAGACTAATTCTCTGAAAAAGAAACACTGAAAGACAGGCTGCAGGAATAGGAATATGACAGGATTGGACGGGAGGTATCAAGCTCAATGAAGATAGTCTGGCATCTGAGGATGGGAAAAGACAAATGGGATTTGATATTCACATTACTTGCTTTATGTTCAAAGTAAAACTTCATGACTTCAGCATCAAATACAAAGCTCACACTGTAGTCAGCACTTTAAGGGTTAAAAAAGAGAAAGAAGGTGGGCTGAGAAATCACAGTGCATCTGCATTTCTGTGCCTACCAAAGGCCAGCTGTAACTACTGAGATCTAGCCAAAATTAATTTATTAACCTGATTACTCTATTCCAGAGATGTTACTTTACAAATACAGACTTGTATGTATTCAACCTGAAGACACAGATTGCCAAGGAACGTATTTCATTCGAAGGTGCATTTGAATCGTGAGAGATGGCAGGGGGAAAGAAGGGAGGGTGTCCCCCTCTCTCTACTTCCCCTTTTTCTTTTCTTCTCCCAGCCAGGATGTATTTAGAGCTTGCCTTAAATACAATGAAGCAACCACCTTACTCCCAAAAAGGAAGTAGATATATGCTGCCCAGTCCTCGGGAGGACACAGAACCACACTCTGGAAAGGCCAAAACAGAGCCACATCCAATTCAAATCTCTTTTTCCAATCCCCACAGCCATAATTGCACAGAGATGAGCAAACATAAGCAGACGGTGCTCTGGCTGCTCACCTCATTAGCACCAAGCACTGCCGCATTGCAGCTGACATGACTCGCGTGTTTAAGCAAGCAGGCTTCAGACACACACCCCTCCCATTTCATAGAGACATCTCAAGCAAGAGTAAAAACAAGACACTGCTACAAACCTAAGCAGACTGTGAATATCATAAAATGGACTACCATCTCTTTTAGCCAGAAAAGGAGTACAGATTCAGCAAGCAAAAGATTTTTTACTTATTAGTCAGATTCCACCTTACACATGTATTTTCCTGTTTAGGTGCATGCCCAATTACACCCACTTTTTGCCCATGTAATCGCATGCATGTCCTGATCCACGTGCAAGCTGTGCAACAATCATTTCAAAAAGGAGTGCATATTCTACACAGCCCCAAAATTGCCACCGTCTCTGTGTTGTGAACCAAAACGACATAATTTTCCAATTCATAATCTCTCAGTCTATTTTGTTGTTTCGCTTTAAAGTCACGCCACATGCTGAAGTTTTGCACCATGGAGTCTGAAACAGAAAAACAGCAGTTTGAGGAGATGTGTATGCCTCACCTGGAATTCTCCTGAATACCTGTATGAGACTTGACTATCAAACTGGTGTAAATTTAACCAGGCCACCATCCCCCCTAGAGTAACTTTGGAAGTACGACGATATTATCAACAGAACAATCTGAGCTTTTGTTTCAGATTCAGTCATATTCTGTGGTATAGATACTGTTGTATGCAGAACAGCAACAAAAAATTCTCTCCCCTTATACAAGGCAGTTTACAAACAAAAAGAAGAGCTACTCAATGAAATGTATAATTTCAATCAGTACTACTGACATGCGCCATAAAAATTAGCTGCAGTTTCCCAGCAACACAGTGCTGCAAACAGAAGCAGCTTTATTACAGTAAAAAGGAGAGCCAGATTCTGCCATTTTGGAATGAGTATACATTCAGCATTCCACATGAGACCCATCAGTTAACAATCAGGTTAATGGTCATTAATGCCTACTGGGCTGAGAATATAATGTTTGTTCACTATGATGTGCTGGAAACAGTAACACAGATGATATTAATGCATACAGTTAATTCATTTTCCAAAGAAACAATTCATGAATGCAAAGAGAAATAAAGGAAAAAAAAGACATGTTACAGATATGTTACTTAGAAAGTGGTTAAGAAGTAATCAAGGTTTTTTTGAAAATCACAGTGCCCTTAGTCGAAAGGGACCCCCAAGGATCGATATGTTCAACTCCTAGCGCTGCACTGGCCAGCCCCAAGTATCACACCGTGCCTGAGAGTGTTGTCCAAATGCTTCTTGAACTCTGGCAGGCTTGGTGCTCTGACCACCTTCCCTGGGGAGTCTGTTCCAGTGCCCAACCACCCTCTGGGTGAAGAACCTTTTCTAATATCCAACCTAAACCTCCCCTGACACAGCTTCATTCCCTTGGGTCCTGTCACTGGTCAACAGAGAGAAGAGGTTGGTGTCTGCCCCTCCACTTCCTCTCATGAGGAAGTTGCAACTGCAATGACCTCTCAGTCTCCTCTTCTCCAGGCTGAACAGACCAAGTGATGCCCAAATCTGCACACAGTTGAGATGAACTATCTTTTCTCTCCAGTACTAGTACCATCCTGGGAGCCCCTGGTGGTCTAGTGGTTAAGGGCGCGGTGCTGTCACCGCCGAGGCCCGGGTTCGATTCCCGGTCGGGGCCCCTCCCCGGGCAGATGGAGCTTGTTAGCCCTGTAAGGCAATCCATCTACGTCCTGAGGACCTCGCTGCCACCGTCCAAGCTCGCTTGGCCCCGGCAGATGAACCTCAGGATTAAAGGGTGGGCTCAGTTCCGCGCACACTGTGTCTCACCTAAAAAATCCAATGCGCAGGCTGGAAGGTGTAAAGACCTTCCCCGGTTCTTCATTCGCAAAGACTGGCCATTATTATAGTACCATCCTGGTTCCAAAATAGTATTAGCAGGTTACACTCATGGTTGCCTGTGGACAATGAACCAACCTCACAAACACACAGAAGGCAGATGCTCAGATCATACAGAAATACCTTAACAAATAACAAATTAGTCCATTTGCTGGCTTCCTCAGTGGATGCCCATGACAGTGCAGGCATGGCAGATAGTTATACAGTCCTTTGAAGTACCAATACTAAAATCCAGGAAAGGGAGATTTCACGCTTATCCAATACTATGAACTCTCTAATCATAAAACAACCATTTTATCAGTGCCCGGGGAACAATTTTTTAGGTTATCATATAACATTAGGGTATTCTTTGGTCCTATGACATAAAGACTCCTGAGCTGGCATATCACACAACAGAAACAGATGTAACTTGAAGAAAACCTGTTCTTTCAGTTCCAGCTTCCTTTGTTTTTCCTCTGCAAAACAAAACTCTCCAAAATGGAACATGGTACACCTATAACATTATACATCAATCATCACAGCATTCAGATAAAACATAAAAGGAATTTTCGCAATGTGAATTCTAATCACCTGGGAATGAACTCGACCACTTACACCACATTCCTGAAACTTGAAAAACCTCAAGTTTCTCTCAAAAACAGCTCAAAGAAGCACATGATAGAACTGAGTGGGTAAATGCATGATTATTCATCATTTGCCCCAACCAGTCATCCTGCTTTTCACTCGCAAAGAATGGCAGGTGAGCTGAAAATGCAAAGTTGCTGGTCTCTGCTAAAAAGGCCTATTTTGACCCAAATAGATAGAAGCCATCACATGAACCTGTGAAGACCACAGAAAATGGATAGACTGTTAAATTGAAGAAAGAGGCAGAAACTGCTACTTCTGTTACCAGTGAGATAAGAAGACATGTATCTATACCCTAATAAAAGTTCTTGAGACACTAACATCCAACATGGTAGAGCCTATTTGTATAGCAAGATACGGCAGATGACATCTACTGATTTAGTTCAATTTTAGGGTGGATGAACTCACTTTGGAAAAAAACTCACAAAATTCTGGGACTTGCCAACCCTCATTAACATATGTAGGGCTTTTTCAGTACCTTCTGACTTCTTTCCTAAGACAAGTTTATCTCACAATCACAATTACTCAATTGAAAAGTCTAACTTTTTAGAACGATCATTTAGGTGGCACACATTCCCAATGAAATGCCTCAAAATACAGACATACAAACAAAACTTGACCTAACAAGTTGATGCCCATCAGCTAAGGCTCCTAAGCAATGTGCTTGTTCCCATCCTACAGTGAAACACAACACAAAATGCATGACTTTAAGTCTCGGTGAAGGTATTCTACACTATTCATGAATCTCACAACACAGCTGGGACAAACTTGCTGCTCAAATACAGGCATTGCAGAGCCTGCAAACCAAACATGCCTCTGCAAGCCAATCAAAACCACAGCCAGAGTACACCTTTTGCAATTTATAAGCACTGGTGTTTCATCTACACAGTTATCCTAGTTCTTTGCACTCCAGAAATTCTAGAAAACACTTCTGTGTGATGGCTTTAGGGATGGCTAAAAAGGATCAAGATCAAGAAACTGTGTGGCTTCTGAACATTTTAATTCACATCCAAGCAGTATTTTAAATTGCTTACATTTTTGAAACCCATTATATTC